GAAGGAAATTAAAATTATTCATAATCCCACCACCTGGTGATAATCCCTGTGAATATTTCAGTGTGTTTCCTTTCTAATTTTTTTTTGTCCAGTGCACACCATGAAGATATTCAGATGAGCATGATCACAATTCTACATCCTGGGTTTGGGGGTTTTTTTCCCCCACTTAACATAATAAGGAGAGGATTTTCTCATGTGATTTCTCCCACTGCTTCCTTCCTTACTGAAGCATTTCTCAAAGTGTGGCCAGGAATTCACCAGCATCAGGATCATATAGGGAGTCACTTCAAAATGCACACACTCTGGACACACCCCAGTCCCATAGAATCATTGTCTGAATGTTGAACACTCCCCAGGTGATCTAGATGGACCATACATTTTGGAAACATCCCCCCATGCCGTGGCTCTCAACAGGACTGCATGCTGAAATGCTGGTATCCGGGCGTAACCAGATCCATAGCTGAGAAGTTTTAGAGCTGGGGCCCCAGGCATTGGTATTTTAAAAAAATTCTTTCTGGGTCATTAACATGGGTTGAGGGTTGCCGGCATCTTTCGTAATGCACATAGGTCTCTCCTGCCAAGACTGGTAACAACAAACATTCCTTATGGGGTGAAGAAACTGAAATGTTTTATCACCAGGATAAAGACCCATCTGTGACTCATGGTCTGCCATGACGTAATTTGGACTTAACTTCCTGCAAAGTTTTATTTCCAAGTTTATGCTACTTGGCTGTTGGGGCCCTCCCTGTTGAGGCCCTAGTATTCGGGGCTGCAGAGAGGATGTCCAAAAGGGCGGGCTCCAGGAACCCCCCGCTCATCCTGATCTTTGAGCAGAGAAGGAAGGTCTGCCCATCCCCACTCCACTTCCTTCTCTCTTTATTGGTCTGGACTGAATTCACAAGTAACAAGGGTCTCTACGCTGAGAGATGTGAATAATGATCTTCAATCTGTTGTTTTTCCATGCCATTTGCTGCCACTGATAGAAGCTAATGAGACGCTCCCTGTACAATGCGTGTTAATGGGGGCTTTTGGAGTTGAGGATCGAATGGTGGAAGGAACAGGCATCTTGGTAGGGATGCTAGAGTGTGGGTTTGCAAGAGGTGGGTGACTCCACACCCTTATTTTCCAAGAGGAGACAAGTAAGCCTCGTAGGTTTCCTGAGCAAAGTACACTGCAGTTTAGAATTGGGTCATCTATCCCATGCTGTCTTCCTGAGCTGGGTGGGCAAAGCTTGACTTGAGGCAGAAGGCCATGAGGGGACTCCAAGGAAAGCAGAGGTGGTTCACTGACACAGAGAATGAGATTCTAGCCCAGGCTGAGTGACCCAAGTGACTCTGTGCCTTGGGACCCCCATTGATAGAATGAGAAGAACAAAATCTAACCACTTTCTGGCTAGGTCAGTCCATGAAGGAGAAAATAGGTGAGAACAAAGGTGTGTGCCAAAAAAAGAGAGAAAAAGAAAATATATATCACTGTGCAATTTCCATCCCCTGCCCCCGTTAGCTTACCTCACTGTCTCATAATTCTGTGGCATTGAAAGGCAACCTGAAATTCATCTGCTCCAGATGACTTCAAACTGTTTCTTTAAACAATGGAACCAACTTTCCAAAGGAAATCTAATTCAACAGCTCAAACAAATGAAAGAGATAAATGCAGACATGCTCTGGACGAAATGGGGTTTTTGGTTCCTCAGAATCACTCCCACCATACCTCTATAGTGGGTGGCCCCAAAATGGTCTCTGAAGAACCCCTGGGGCGCCATAAAGCACAATTTGACAACCACCAATTTAGCCCAACACCTTCCCTTTTACAGATGAGGAAACTGAGGCCCAGAGAGGCAAAATTCAGGGCTAAAATCCAGATTTCTCAACCCTATGTTGAGGATTCTTTAGGGGAACAAGATGATGGCACAGCTGTTGGGTGTCTCGTCCCGACCTCTGAGAAGTCAGAGGCAGGTGAGATAGAAGCAGCTGGGGTGACTGCACGTGTGCAACTTGGTTCCTACCAATGATGGAGGGTCCCTTGGTATGGGCAAAGCAGGGGAATTGAGCAGGGTGGAGGTTGGACTGTTCAAGAAGGTCCCCATGGCTCTGCTTGGCAGTAGTGGCAGTGAGGTCTGATTAAGAACAGGAACTATAGCTGATTCATTTTGCTGTACAGTAGAAACTAACACAACATTGTAAAGCAACTATATTCCAATAAAAATTAATTCTTTTAAAAGAAGAAGAAGAACAGGCACTCGAGAGCCAGACTGCCTGGGTCTGAGCCCAGGCTCTCTCCACCTCCCCGCTGTGTGACTTGGATACCTCACTTAACCTCTCTGTGCTTCACTTTTCTCATTTGGAAAATGGGGACAAGAATAGTCTTTAGCTTATAGTGCTGCTGGAAGGATTCATTAAGAAAATCCATGTGGAGTGCTTATCTCTGTGCCTGGCACATTGAAATTGCTCAGCAGACACTGGCTGCTGGTGTTCTGAGACTGAGGACTGGGCGCTCCTGGTTTGTGCTGCCTCCCATCATCCTATAAAAGCAATTTCTAGGGAAAATGTGGGGAGGGTTGGGGTAGAGGAAGAGGAGGAGGAGGAAGAGAAGAGCGTGCTGCCTTTGGTTCTGCACATCCTGCCTCTCAAAGCAGCTCTGTCCAATCTGGGTCACAGCAGGCGCTAGAGCCTACAGGCTGCTTTGGGCTCCTCTGTTGAATGGAACACAGAGGGAGAAGCTGCTGTTTATAACACAGCGAGTAGCATGCTTTGAGGGGATGGCAGGAGCGAGGAGGACCTGTGGGGAGAGTCAGCATCAGGTGGTGGCCAGCAGGTCTGCCAGGGACTTTCTGGAGCCTGTGATACCCACAGCTGATGTCCACAGCTGAGAGCCAGTGCGTGGAGGGGGTGGGCAGGGTCCGGCTCCATCTGGGTCCACTGGCTGTGGCTGGAACAGGAACAATAAGGTTCTGTTTGAGGAAAAAGCAAAGAGGTGACTTGAGGCTGGTGGGACGGGTCAAAAACAACCCACCTGAGATCGAAGGAGGATGCCCCCACAGGTGTAGTCATTATGTGTAGCCTTGCTATTCAGAGTGTGCCCTTGGGCCATCGTGTGGAATCACTTGGGAGTTTTCTAGGAATGTAGCACCTCAGGCCTCACCCCAGACGTGATGCTTCAGAATCTGTTTTAACAAGATGCCAGTGTGACTTGTGTGCACATTAAGTTTGAGAAGTGCCAGTGTAATACACATGATACCTGGCTTCCAGTTTTAGCTCTGTTACTTCCTAGCTGTGTGACCTTGGACAAGTAATTTAACTTCCTTGTGCCTCACTTGCCTTAGTTGTAAAATGGCTTCTTAATAGTGCCTGTCTCTTAGGGTTGGGTGCCAAAGCACTTCATACCATGCCAGGCCCATAATAAACACTATGTAAGTATAAGCTGCTATTGTATGTCACTTGACATTCAACTCAGCTTACTTTTGCTGGATACAAATTTGGGAAGTGGCCTGCCTTCATTCATTCATTTGTTCATTCATTCATTGGTTCGACCATCATGTGTGAGCACTCACTGTGGACCCCAGGTACCGTTCTGTTCCTGAGGACGCAGCAGGGAACAGGACAGACAAGATCCCCAGCCCAGGGGAGCTCAGAGTCTAGGAAGGCAGCCAGGTATGGACTCACAATTAACTAATTACTTAATGTAGACAATTCCACAATTACTTACAAATGTGACAAGTGCTATGCAGAAGGGTTGCCAAAAAAGTAAATAAAACGGATGGTTGGAGAAGGCTTCTAAGAGGAGGTGATATTTTAACCAGAATATGAAGGATAAGGAGAATCTAGGCAGGAAAAGTGTGTGTGTGTCTGTGTGTGTGTGTGTGAGAGAGAGGGAGATCACAAATATGTGTAATGAGGGAATGCTGCATTCCAGGCACAAGGACCAGAATGTGCAAAAGTGCTGAGGCAATTAGGAGAACTAGAACTCAAAGAAGGCCAGTGTAACCAGAGCAGTGGTTCTTAAACTTTTGTCAAAATCCCCTGGAAGGCTTGTCTAAACAGATTGCTGCCCCACCCCCGGAGTCTCTGATTAGGGTTGTTGTGGAATGGGGCCCAAGAATTTGCATTTCTAACAAGTTCCCAGGTGACACTGATGCTGATGGTCTGGTCATCACACTTAGTGAACCACTGAGCTAGAACATTTAAGCAAGACCAAGAGGGCGAAGAGGTTTGGGGTTTCATCTGGGGCCAGACCACGTAAGGTCATGGAAACCTCATGGAATGAGAACCAACTAAAGGTTTTAAAGGGAAGTGGGAGTGCCATGATCAGATTTATGTTTTAGGAATATCACCAAGGCTGTGATGGGGAGAACAGACGGTAGAAGGCATGAATGAAGAAAGCATGGAGACTAAGGGGTTAGTCATCCAGGGGAGAGATGTCAGTGGCTTGGTTGAGGTGAAGACGGAGAGAAATGGGTGGATTCCAGAAGTGTTAGAGCGTTAGACCTGATAGGATTTGGTTGGGTCATTGAATGTCTGGGAGGAGGGGCTCAGGAAGACCCTGTAGGTTTCTGGTTCAAGCAAGTTAGCAGATAGTGGTGCCATTTCCTGAGAATGGGAGCAGGTTTGCTGGGGATGAGGATGAAGAGCAGCCAGGATGAAGAGTTCAGTTGAAAGCACAAGTTTGAGACCCAAGTGAAGACGTCATACAGACAATTAGATAAACAGATCTGGGCCTCCGAAGACAGTTTATGGAGGAGGTGACATGAGAAAAGACTCGATAAGGTTCTTAATCTGAAGTTGGTAGAATAGATGGACTTTGGGGATGTCGGAGGGGTTCCGTGATGTTCTGAAAATATATCAGAATGTATGTGCCTTTTTCTGGGGAGGGGTCCAGTAGTCATTATCAGATACTCAAGAGTCTATGACTCAAAGAAGGTTAAGACCATCAACCAGATAATGAGGGAGAAGCTGGTGGTCCCTGGTCCTTTGAGGTCCGTATAACCCTGACTCTGCTTCCAGGCGCCTGGTGGACCGTCTGGAGAACATGAGGAAGAACGTGGCTGGGGACGGGGTGAACTGCTGCATACTGTGTGGAGAACAGCTGGGGATGCTGGGCTCTGCCTGTGTAGTGTGTGAGGACTGTAAGAAGGTACCATCGCCCTCCCCTTCCCTGCTTCCCCGCTCATCACATGCATAGGGGCTAGGCCTGGGCTCCAGCCTTTGGGGGCCTTGGGTCTTGGGGATGGAGCTTGGATCGGGAAAGGTAGTTGCCAGAATATGATTCCTTCTGGGATGCTCCCATGCCCAGCTGTATTCCGAGGTAACCCTGATCCTGCTTCCTCCCCTAGAAGTCACTCTGACCCTTCTGTCTCCTTGGAGCTCAGCTCCATCCAGGATGAACTTGGGAGACTGAAGTAGGACATGAACTATGGTTGAGCCTGCAAGTATCCTGGTTGTGGCTTAGCAAGTTATAGGTCAGGCTAAAGAGCATGCTGGGGGAATTCCCTGGCGGTCCAGTGGTTAAGACTCCACGCTTCCACTGCAGGGGACACGGGTTCAATCCCTGGTCGGGGAACTAAGATCCCGCATGCTGCACAGTGTGGCCAAAAAAAAAAAGCATGCTGGGCTTGTGTCTACATGGAAGACACGTGTACATGGAAGCCCTACCCAGCATTCTTTACCCTGGGGTACAGTTCAAGCCACTTAGAAAGCCCCTCTCTAGCCAAGTTAGGCCAAGTTAGACTTTGGTCTTCTTAAGCATTCACTCTTGAAGGGGAGTCTCCCTGTGCTCTCTCCACCCTGCACCCTCTCCTCAAGCTGTCTGAACTTGACAATTCCAGGACAGAAATACAACTGTCCTTGGGTCTGTCTGATTCCCAGGAAAGGAGTTCAGGGGAGTGACCCAGCTGGAGATATCCATAATGTCACTTGGCATCTCCTACTTGGGGTCGCATTTAGCATTTAGAATGGAATATTGGGGAAAGGTTATCTACTCCAAAAAACTTGCCTTCTGTAGTTGACTAGATAGTGAGAATTTTGTGACCTATTTGTTTTGACTTCCAGAAAACTCAGCCAAAAGTATAATGTTCCATCATATAGTCATGGCATTTACTCAGATAACGTCTTTCTCCATAAGGAGTTGAACCTGTAGTCATAGTCTAGGGTGTCTCAGATTCATTTGGGAAAGAAAGAAGAAATAAAATAATAAAATGGATATACAGTCTCTCATGATTAAAAAATCATGTCAGTGATCTCCCTTGTATGGATGATGAAAACTCCAACCCCACAGGGACTCTTGGAGAATCCCTTCATCCCGTGCTTGGGAATGACTCCAGTTCTTGTTATCAAAAATCAAGACTCAGATTGGAACTTTATTCTAACTGGCCTTGGTCATGGAAGAGACGTGAGGAAAGGAGAGTTCTATTGCTTCATGTCCATCAAGGGAGAATAGGGCTTCATTGCCACCATTGCCAGCCACTTCTCCTGATCACCGGCAGCTCCAAGCCTGGCATATCTGAGTGTGCACTGGGCTATGTTTTGTCCCCAGAATGTCTGCACCAAGTGTGGGGTGGAGACCTTCAACAGCCGCCCACACCCTGTGTGGCTCTGCAAAATCTGCATCGAGCAGAGAGAGGTGAGTGGATTGGTCCCATTCAGCTCCTGGAGCATCCTCCCTCCTTTGTACGGTTCCCCCTTCCTTGCTATAACCAGGGGAGTAAGGTGGCAGTTGGGGGGCTGGGGAACCTGTTCAGGCACATGTCTTAAGGGATTGGTATAAAAGGAACCAGCTCAGCTGTGAACACTGGCAGGACACAGTATTTGAATGAATTTCTTTTCTCACCTCTCGCTTCTGTGACTTTTCCTTCTCTCCCTCCCTGCTCTCTTATTCATTGCCCTCTGACATCCATTATTCCCTACTCCCCATTTCTCATCTTCTGGGTCTTCCCCTACTGCCACCTTCTCTTTCCCTCTACTTCACTTCTTGCCTCACACTTTCCCTCATTTTCTTTTCTTTCCCTGTACAGATCTTCCTCAACTTACAATGGGGTTGCGTCCCGATAAACCCATCGTTACGTGGAAAATGCATTTAATACACCTAACCTAGTGAACGTCATAGCCTAGCCTACCTTAAATATGCCCAGGGCATTTACATTAGCCGACAGCTGGGCAAAATCATCTAAGACAAAGCCCATTTTATAATAAGTGTTGAGTATCTCCTGTAATTTATTGAATACTGTACTGAAGGTTAAAAAAAAAAAGAGGGGCTTCGCTGGTGGCGCAGTGGTTGAGAGTCTGCCTGCCGATGCAGGGGACACGGGTTCGTGCCCCGGTCCGGGAAGATCCCACATGCCGCAGAGCGGCTGGGCCCGTGAGCCATGGCCACTGAGCCTGCACCTCCGGAGCCTGTGCTCTGCAACGGGAGAAGCCACAACAGTGAGAGGCCCGCATACCGCACACGCACACAAAAAGAATAGCTGCATGGGTACAGAATCATCGTCAGTGTACAGCTGTTTCCCATCGTGATCGTATGGCTGACTGGGAGCTGTGGCTCCCTGCCCCTGGTCAACATCACGAGACAGTATCCGATCGAGTATTGCTAGCCCAGGAAAAGATCAAAATTCAAAATTCGAAAAGGACTTCCATGGCAGTCCAGTGGTTAGGACTCCGAGCTTCCACTGCAGGGGGCGTGGGTTCGATCCCTGGTCAGGGAACTAAGATCCTGCATACTGCATGGTGTGGCAAAAAAAAAAAAAAAAAAATCAAAATTTGAAGTATCGTTTTTATTGAATGCATATCGATTTTGCAACACTGTAAATTCAAAACTATCATAAGAAAACCATTGTAAGTCGAGGGCCGTCTGTACTCTCCTCCTCAGAGCTCTTTTTTCCCTTTCATCCTTATCTCCTCTGCCTTTTCTTCTTTCTCTCTTTGCCTCTCACCCTTCACACTTCTTCCTCTGCACTGTCTTCACTCTATCTCTGTTTTTTTCTCTCATGGAATCTTTCTCTTACCTAGGCTTGCTTTTTATTACCCACTTTGTCCCAATTAACTCCCTTCACCTTTTCCCAATTTCTTCATCACTCATCTTCTGCTGCAGATTCCTGCCTTGGAGACTGTTGCAAGGACCATATTTCCCTCAATATCAGTCAGGGTTCTGGGAGAACAGATGGCACAGTCCATCAGGATTATCAAGGAAGCTTTGATAAAGGTGCTGTTTGCAAGGGTCTGGGCTTGGATAAGGAAGATCAGCGAGGCGTGGTGAAGCTCGCAGCACCAGCAATAGCAGGGTTGCTGATACCACTCCTGAGACTGAAGGAGTGGAGGAGGGAGCAGTTACCAGACTGGACACTGGGTATCAACCAGCAGGAATGTAGCCACTGCCTGCCTAGCAAGGAGGGAGCCAAGGGACTCAGTACCCTGACCTCACTATCTTCTTTCCGCCGATCCCCCACTGATGCTCTCCTTGACCAGATCCACCTGGAAGGTAGAGATCAAGAAATTCCAGTTACTGTAGTCCTTACTGGTCAGCTTCCTGGGGCACAGAGCAGGGTGAAAAAAGATGTAGAACCAATCTGAAGGGGCAACAGAAGATGTCCAACACACTGCCCCAGGTGGAACGCTAATCCACAAGGCAGGGAAAAGGCCAGAGGTCTTGGGGAGTATGTACGTGGATCATCGTCTTTACAGCAGCCAGTGTAGTAGGGAGCACAGCACATTTAAGAGGTGGGAGACTTGGTGTCAGTCCACTCTCTGGCTGTGTAACCTTATACCTGTTCATAACCTTTCTGATATTCAACTGTTTCCATCAAGAGGTTGGTTATTCTCTATTGAGTGTTCAGGGATATTGTGTGAATCAAATAAGATTTGTGAAAGCTGTGTACTGGTGAGAAAATGCACTGCCTATTGTGTCAGTGCTCTGTGAGCAGGGAGAAAAGTGAAAAATTGGCTCTCGTGAAGGCAGGAGCGATAGGGCTTGGCTGTCGTGTCTTCATGTTCTACCTCTCCTCCCCCAGGTGTGGAAGCGCTCTGGAGCATGGTTCTTCAAGGGCTTCCCCAAACAGGTCCTCCCACAGCCTATGCCCATAAAGAAGACCAAGCCCCAGCAGCCAGCCAGTGAGCCCGCTGCCCCTGAGCAGCCCACCCCTGAGCCCAAACACCCTGCCCGGGCTCCAACTCGAGGTAGGAAAATACAGCTTCTCCTTTCAGAACCAAGGACGGGTCTTGGCTAACTGGTCTACCTGAAGGGTGCCCTGACATCATGTTTGTGTTTCTACCCAGTTGGTGGACAGCCAGCCTCTGGGCTTGGGTCTAGGTCCCCTGTGTCTCCTTCACAGCTCATCACAAACCTTTATCAAAAAGATAGTTCAGGGAACTCTCCAGCAATGCCAGGCTGCCAAAAGACTTTGTTGTCATCCCTGATGGAGTATTGAGAGGTATAACAGAGGTGGAAATCAAAATTAGGAACTGAGAAAGACTCCCAACATCAAAATACACGCTGGAGTCTGGGGGGCGGGGGAAAGGGGGCTTGCTGAGAAGGACTTCTTTGCTCCTGATTAAAAATGAAAGATGAATAGCAAGGAAATTAGTAAAAGAAAATTACCACTACTCTGGACATTACCACTATTATCTAAGTATTATTATTAATTATTAAAATGATGGTAAAAAAGGGAGAGACAAAGCAATAAAAAGAAAAAATATGACCCCAATGAAAACACATTTTAATATATTAAGGCCACTAAGACTGACCAGATAAAGCCCTTGCAATACTTTCAATTAGCTAAGTGATAAAATCTGGTCTGAATGACAGTTCTAGGGTTTGAGCGCAGTCAGTGCTTCTAAAAGGAAGGTTATAGTTGAAGGTCTCAAAAATTGAAGTGTCCAACTATAACTTCTCAAGGTGCCCGCTACAGTGTCTGGCAGTCAAAAGGCACTCAACAAATACTTTCATCCTGGCAAGCCATCAGCAGTTTCTGCTCCTTGCAGAGACTCATCAAATTGTCAACCTATACTGCATCCCTGAGAAGCCCCACGTTTCCACCTCTAGAACATCTTTCTTCCTGGTTAAACATTACTCCCTCTAGGCTGAGAAGACTGTGTAGCTTTACTGTCAAGATCTTGAACATGGGAGCCCAGGAAGACCTGAGTTTGAATTCCAGCTCTGCCACTTACAAGTCATGTGAGCTTGGATGAGTGACCTAACCTCTCTAAAACTCTTTCCTCATCTATAAAATGAGATTAATAACTCACTGGGTTATTTTGAAGATTAAATGAGATGCTACAGGCATACCTCATTTTATTACACTTTGCTTTATTGCACTTCATAGTCACTGCAATTTTTTATAAACTGAAGGTTTGTGGCAACCCTGCATCAAGCAAGTCTGTCGGTGCCATTTTTCCTGCTCACTTTGTCTCTCTGTGTCACATTTTGGTAATTCTCACAGTATTTCAAACTTTTTCATTATTATTATATTTGTTATGGTGATCTGTGATCGGTGATCTTCAATGTTACTATTGTAATTGTTTTGGCTTTTTTTTCACAATAAAATATTTTAAATTAAGGTATGTGCATTTTTAAGACACAATGCTGTTTCACACTTAATAGACTACAGTATAGGGTAAACATAACTTTTGTATGCAGTGGGAAAAAATTCACGTGACTCACTTTTTTTGTGATATTCGCTTTATGGCAGTGGTTTGGAACTGAACCTACAATATCTCCAAGGTATGCCTGTACATGTACAGTACTTTGCAGAGTGCAGCACTTAGTAAATGTTGGCCAATAGTACATAATATTAATCACCTATACACAGACACATACACTTACACACATAAATGGTATGAATTAGCTTATTATATAAACTCTAGTCAAAACAAATGACTCTGAAAATATTCACCTCATTGGAAAGAAGTAACATCACCTGCATTGCATAGCAACTCCTAAACAATTGTTGGCAATAACATCTAGTGCTGGTGAATATATGGAGAAATGATGGTATAAACTGTTGGTACGACTATAAGTCACCCCAGCCTCTTCAAAAGTAATATGGCAGAGGTTATTAAAATTTGAAGTGTATATACTATTTGATCCAACAGTCCCCCTCTGGGAATATATTTAACAGCAAGAAAAGTACTCATATAAAAGACATATGTATAATCGTATTTATTGCATCGTTGTTTATGGTAGCAAAAATACTGGAAAAAACTAAGCGTTCATTAACGGGGTAGTTGTTGAATAGATTGGTATATCCACACCATGGTGTATTAAGCATCTTTTAAAATTGAATGCTATAGGGACTTCCCTAGTGGTCCAGTGGTAAAGAATCCACCTTCCGATGCAGGGAACGCAGGTTCGATCCCCAATAGGGGAACTAAGATCCCACATGCCATGGGGCAACTAAGCCTGTGCACCACAACTACTGAGCCCGTGTGCCTCAACGAGAGAACCCGTGTGCCGCAAACTACAGAGCCCATGCGCCCTGGAGACTGCGCGCCACAACTAGAGAGAGAAAACATGTCACAACTAGAGAGAAGCCCGCGTGCTGCAACGAAAGATCCCGTGTACTGCAACTAAGACCTGATGCAGCCAAAAAAAAAATAATAAAGAAAATAAATAAAGTAAATAAATATTTTTTAAAAATTGAATGATGTAAATGTATATTGTAGATTTGGAATTATACCCATGATATGAGCTTTCAATATTCTCTTAATGAACAGTTACGGAACACCTAGTGAGTTCCAGGCTCTGTTCTATGCCCCAGGGAATCAGTGAATGGAACAGATAAGATCCATGCTCTCATGCAATTAAAATTCTAGTGGGGGAAACAGATGCTCAACAAACAGCAAATGCAAATACAACATAATATCAGGTAGTGATAAGTGCCAGGAAGAAAAATGAAACAGGTAGAGGGGATAGAGGCTTCATGTTGGACAGAATGGCCAGAGAAGGGCTGTCTGAGAGATGATATCTGGGGAGAAACCTGACCAAGGTGATAAAGAGGGCTCATAGAATCTTCGGAAATACCGTGTGCAGAGGGTTTGAGGTTGGAGCATGCTTGGTGAGTTCTGAGGAAATTCAAATTAAGTGAACAAAGCACATTCTAGAAACAGTACGTAGCCCATGATCCCAATTTGTTTGCAATGGAAATAATGTGAAATTTGTAGATAGGCTCTATATCAAAGGGGAAGTTGGGAAAAGAAAGTTTTAATTTTTTTTTTGAAGTTCTTGGGAATGGTGGATGGGCCCTTTTGTGAGCTCCTTAAGTGTCAGCTCTCCAGAAGACATCAAATATTGGGGATTTGCCAAAAAGTTCATTTGGGTTTTTCCATAGGATGTTACAGAAAAACCCAGGTGAACATTTTGGCCAACCCAATACATACTCCTCATCAGTTTTCTCTCTCTCCAGGTGACTCTGATGACAGGAGGGGCCCAGGTCAGAAGACAGGTGGGTTCTGCCGACTCTGTCTCCTGCTTTTGAGACAGGAGTCCTTTTCCCCATTCCTCCATTGCCTTTTCTCCCTTCAATTCATGCTTTTCCTTTCAGGCCCTGACCTGGCCTCTGCTCCTGGGCAAGGAAGCTATGGGCCTCCTGTGCGCAGGGCCTCCGAGGCACGAATGAGCTCATCTAGCCGGGACTCAGAGAGCTGGGACCAGAGCCACGGCGGAGCTGCTGGTGACCCCAGCCGGGGCTCAGCAGGTGAGAGAGATGGGCAAATCCAGACAGGCTTCCTGGATGAGGAGAATCAAAAGGAATGGGGAGAACAGTGGTTTTTTTCATTTATTCATTGGCGCTCGGTAGGCATTCAATGAACACTTGTTGAATGAGTGAATGAGTGAATGAGTGAGTGAGTGAGTGGATGGATGGATGGATGGATGGATGGATGGATGGATGGATGGATGGATGAACAAGGACCCAAATGAACAACCAAATGGAAGTGCTAATGCAGGACCCTGGGACAAGAATTTGTAAGCCCCAGCCAGAGGTGGCAAAGCACTTTCTGTCATGATCATTCAAGCATCTCTCCAGTGAAAAATATTTGGATTCAGGAAAGGTGGGATCTAGCCCAGTGAGGTGAGAGAAGACAGGGTATTCTTCTAGGAATGTCATACTTTCTCAGTACCAGGAACTGCTGTGTATATCATCCCCATTTGATCCCCCAGCAGCTCTGCAGGAGGCAGTAGCATCTAATAGTCTCAGGTAGACTCTGGAGACCAAATGCCTGAGTTCAAACCCTGGCTTGGCTACTAACCAGCCAAGAGACGTTAGGTGAGCTCCTTAACCCCTCTGTGCCACAGTTTCCCCATTTGTAAAATGGAGCTAATAAAGCACTCACCTCAAAGGGTGTAGAGATGAAATAAGTTCTTATAAAAATGTTAATCAAGTGGGTAGAGTTGTTGCCTCCATGAAGCATCTGCAGTTCAGAGAGGGTAAGTGACCAGCCCAAAGACACACAGCTTATAAAAGAAAAATCTGGGATGCAAAGCTAGGTCCATGCGAAGATAAGAACAGTCTTTCAATAATTATAAAGTAATATCAACATCTGCCAGATGTTGAGTGTTTACTACATGCCAGGCACTGTTCTGAGCATTTTACATGTATTGTATTATTGTGTCTCCACCACAACCTTATGAGGTAAGTACTGTTATCCCCATTTGATGGATGAGGAGACTGAGGCCCAAAGAGGATAGGTCATTTGTGCAAGGTCACAGATGTCAGAAGCAACGTCACAGAACCTGAGCTTTTCAACATCCATGTTGTTGCAGTGAGTTGCCCAGGGGCATCTGAGTATTGGAAAGAGAGAACACACGGAGGGGAGGAGAAGAGGGTCTGAAAGAGCTGGAAGTGTCAGGGGGCTGCATCCAGTTCACACCCAGAGGACCATGCCTCATGCCGGCTGACTGGTCCCAGGCTTCTTCCTGCTTTGACTGTGTGTGAGTGTGTGTGTGTGCGATATGACAGGCTCTTTCCTTTCCCCTGCAGGTTTGAGACGGGCCAACTCAGTGCAGGCCTCTAGACCCACCCCGGCTTTGATACAGAGTCCAGCGCCCCCCCAGCCTGGGCAGCCAGGTACGTGCCACCCACCCACCCGCCCAGGCTGTCACTCAGCTGTGACCCCAATACCTCCCACTCTTGCTTGCGGAACCCGCTGGGCTTTCTGCAAAGCTGCAGCCACCACCAAACCCTAAACTCTTTGAAGACCTTTAGAATGAATAATACTCTAGGCTGGGAAGCTGGTGGGGGTGGGAGGAAGGGTAGCATCATATCTACCTAAATGCAAGAAGTGACAGTACTTCATCCCTCACTGTTTCCCACCTTCTGACGTCATCACTCCAATTTCACAATTTTTACCACATGCACCTATGATCTGCCCTTTTATTTCCTTAATGTTTTCTTCAAATTGACCTCCTTTAAGAACATAATTGAGAGAAGTTATCATAAACTCTTTCAAGGAAATTTTAAGGACTTCAGACTTTAAGGAAAAGGCAAAGGTTCTCAGACAGATATGTGAGATTCAGGAAGAAATGGTGGGCAAAGAGATTAGTAATGTGAGAAAATCTGAACATATATGGCTTGTGTAAAACAATGGAAATAATTCCTAATTGGTGCAGTTAAAATCTGTTATTTTAAAAGAAACCTATAATAATGGCATAAGTGGGAAACCAGTATTCCATACCAGAAAAAGAGAGTATATTAGTTTGCTAGGGCAGCCATAACAAATATCACAAACTGGGTGGCTTAAAATAACAGAAATGTATTGTCCCACAGTTCTAGAAGCCAGAAGTCCAAAATCAAGGTGTAGCCAGGGTTGGTTCCTTCCTTCCTGTCCCAGCCTCTCCTCTTGCTTCTGGGGGCCTCGGGCATTCCTTGGCTTGTGGATGTGTCTTCACATCATCTTCCTTCTATGCATGGGTCCCTGTGTGTCCAAATTTCCCCTCTTTATAAGGGCATAGTCATATTGGATTAGGGCTCACCCTAATGGCATCATCTTAACTTGATCACCTGCAAAGATGATCAAATATTCACATTCACAGGGACTGGGGGTTAGGACTTGAACATTTTTTTGGAGAACACCATTCAACCTATTGTGAGGGGCTGTTATAAAAATTAATGTACTGAAAATACATTGCAGGTGCAATGACATTCTCAGTACTCTGGCCTGCTGAAGGTTCGGAGCCTGAGTCCTGTCCTCTTTTGCTCAAAAGGGACATTTACAAAGGTTAGAGAAGTGTTAAAGTAGCACCTAGATGAGACTTTTCCCATGACGGGATCAGTATGGAAAGGCAATGGGAACCCAGAATGACTTTCTCACTCTGTCATTGGATGTTATTTCATGCCCCATCCCTGTGGCTCTCCCCCACATCCCAAGCTTCGGAAATGTAGTTATATAGAATCCTCTGGACCAGTAATGACCCCGTAATAATGGTGGACTCAAAGCCTGGACTTGCCCGTTACCTTGCAAGCGATTCTTGCTCCATTTGTTTGTCAACCTCATAACAGCCAACAAAACATGAAGAGCAGGTAATACCTGCTCATCCCCACTTCACAGAGGAGGAAGCTGAGGCCCAGAATGGAAGGATTTGGGCTTGAAGCCAGGGCTTTCCAACACCAGAATCCCCCAATGGGACTGTTCCTGCAACCCTGGGTACCTCTGCACATCACCTGCTGCCCCTGGGCCTGTGTCCACACCTGTGAAACGAGGGGTCCTCAGGGCAAATACCCAAATGATGCCGCCTTCTCTATTCCAAACTTCTTTCTCTCTTTGCCCCACTCAGGACCCCCAGGAGGCAGCAGACCCAGTCCTGGGCCAGCAGGACGTTTTTCAGATCAGAGACCAGGCAAGTGTTCGCCTCTTTCTGTGCCTGCGCAGGTGACCACCTCTTCCACTGACTGAGAGAGAGAGAGAGAGCAGGGGCTGCCAGACATTGGCCCATTCTGCATCCTGAGACCTATCTGATGAGCTCTAAGGGAATTCCCTAATTCTAAAACTCTAGAGAGTCTGTACTAAGATTAGATAGATAGAAAATGACAATACATACAGTGATTAAGAGTATAAGCTGCCTGCATTCAAATCACTGCTTCTTTACTTCCCAGCTCTGTGACCCTGGGCAAGTCACTTAACTTCCCAGAGCCTCAGTTTCCTTATCTCTAAAAGGAGAATAATCCAAGGACCTACCTCACAGAGTTGCTGGGAGGATTAAGTAAAACCAATACATGGAACACCTTAGCACGTGGCCTGCAATGTATGAAGACCACACCGAGTGACAGTGATTATTACACATGATATATATGCAGCAGCACCAATCACTACAACAGATTCATTGCTTTCTAATGCACCAGCTACTGTGCTAAGTGCTGTGCACATACTAGAAAATTTTTTAAATGATAGCTAATACTATTTGAGCACCTTCAGGTCTTAAAATTCCCATCTTACAGGTGAGAAAACTGAGGCCCAGAGATAAGTAATCTTGCTCCAGCTGAGATTCAAATCCAGGCTGTCTGGCTTCAGAGCCCATACCAGTGAGGGCTCTCAGTGAGGTCTGTTTTGCTCATGGAACTTGTTATAAAACATAGATTCCAAGGCCCTACCACAGGGCCTGCAGATTCTAGATGGAGCCTGGGAACCTGCATTTTTGCAAGCCTTCCTTGGGTGGCTTTGACAAAGGCAACATTCTGAGAACCGGTGAATGGCATGATGTGGCCCCCCTGTCCACTGGAAGTGGCAGTCCCCCATTGCAGGGCAGTGGGTGATTCTGGCACAAAGCTCGCCAAGCACCTGGTACACAGTAGGTGCCCATCACTCGTGGTAATGCTGCAGCATTTGTCACTGCTGTCGTTATGACACAGGGACTCAGCTGCCTCTTTCCCACCCTCTCCCCATCTCCCCTGCAGAGGTGGCTCTGAGTGACCCCGCCTGTACAGGGGCCACCGCCCCACCGCGAGAGGAGAGAGTGGGGGGAGTTGGGGGCTATTCGGCAGTTGGAGCCAGGGAGGACCGAGCGGGCCACCCACCCTATTCCCAAGCGTCTGCTGCTGCTCCCCAGCCGGCCGTGGTCCCAGCCCACCAGCCCCCACGCCCAGTGGAGGAGGAGGAGGAGGAGGAAGCCAACAGCTATGATTCAGATGAAGCAAGTAGGTGACGCGTAACGGAGGGGTGGCTGGAAAAGTCACTTCAGCGGTCGCCCCCAGGGAAATAGGAATGGCTCTGGGGACAGCTCTGTACATCCCCAGCCCCCCAATATGCCAAACCTAATAAACATATTTACCAAGTTATAAAAATACAAATTCGTGTTACTAAATTCACAAAATGACATCAGCTTTCTAAAGTATAAGCGCATCTATTTTTTCACTGTTGTAAAAGATACATAACATCAACGTTAACCATTTACATAATTTTTTAAGAGTGCAATTCAACTATATTCACAAAGTTCTATTTGGTGGTTCCATAGAACTATCATATGACTCAGCAATTCCACTCCTAGGTATATATATAGATAGAAATCTATTTTAATTGTTTCCCAGACTCTTTGGTGTGTGTCTTCTAAAAAGTCATTTTTTAACCATGACTTTAAAATTTCTGACACTTCCTCTTGCATCCATCCATTCAATGATTTATAAAGTGCCTGCTCTGTGCCACACACACACACACACCAGTGGCGCTTCTCCTGGGTGTGGCTGGGAGCAGCAGGGGAGAGCTGGGGTGGCCTTTGTGAGCTGCAGGGAAGCATAGATGGGTTGTGTCTGGACCTGATGCATGCTGTGGGGTTGGGGGAACGTTCTAAGAGCTCCTGGTCAGATGGGGAGACTGGACCCACTCAGAAGAAATGGACCAAGGGCTGTAGTCGGCGGGATGGCTTTGGCCCATCGTGTCACCTCCCCTCGTTGTAAAAGGGAAAGCAAATACCACCTCCCATGCAGGGCTGAGGGGTCGTAAACTGAGGTACCTGCTGAGAAAGGGCTTCATAAACCAGAAATCATTATTATATAGTGCGAAACACACGTGAGGAATTATTATTATATGACATGCACATCTGAGGTAATAATAGTCAACACTTGTTGAGCCCTTATTTTGTGCCGGGCACTTTTCTAACTGTGTTACGTGCACATGCTCAATTTAATTATCCCAGTGAGCCTGGGAATAGTTGCTTTTCCTATTCCAATTTCACAAATAAGGAGACAGAGGCTCGGAGAGGTTCAGGGACTTGTCCAAGTTCATATGGCCAGTGAGTGGAGGGACTGACAGTCTCATTGCTGCAGCAGGCCAGAGGCCAGACCTGGAGGGAATATCAGCTGTCCTGTCTCTCACAGGGGTCATGAGTCTGCAGGCTCAGGGGAAAGGAGTCTGAGGAGCCTACCCCCACCTCGCTGGCTGGGGGCTGTTTCTGCCCTGGAAATGCACCATGTCTATCCCACCTTCCTGGCTTTCCACATCCTGGTCCTTCTGCCTGGAGCAGTGGCCACTGCTCCTTCCATCTGCCTTAAGTGTCTCTTTGCTGACCTGCCAAGCCTAGAAGATCCCTCCCAGCCGGTGTATGTCCCTGTTAGGAGCTGTCCCTAGTGATTTATAACAAGCCTGTCTCTGTATTCAACTCCCTCCCTCACTCATCTCTATATTTGACAAGTATTTATTGAGCACCTACGAGGTGCCCCCAAACTATTCTAAGTGCTAGGGTTACCATGGCAAAAAAAGAAAAAAAATAATAACAGACAAGATGGCTGATCTAATGGGACTAATATTCTGGTGGAGAGAAACATACCAATGAGTTCATTTCAAATAAAGACAGAGCACCGTGAAGGAAATAAAATAGGGCGAATGACCATGAGGGTGGCTGCTTTAGATGGAGCAATCAGGGAAGGTTTCTCTGAGGAGGTGACATTTAAGCTGTGATGTGGATAATGAAAAGGCACTAGCCATGTGAGGATCTAGAGAGAGAGCATTCCAGACAGAGGCAACAGCAAATGCTGAGACTCATTTATTCCTTCAGCAAGTAAGTGAGCACAAACTGTGTGCCCTGCACTGTGCCCAGCGGGGACATAGCAGTGAACAGGGCAGTCACAGCCTTGCCCTCATGGGACTCTCAACCTAGCAGATGGAAGTCATTAAGTAGGCAATTGCACAAATGATTAACTGATCACAGGTGTGCTGAGGGTTCCAAAGAAGAGGAGGGTCTACCAGGATGGGGAGTCCAGAGGGACTGAGTCTTCCTCTCCTCTGTAGGCTCAATGGCTAGCCCAGACTGGGCACACGGTAAGTGCTCAGGAAATGTTTGTTGAATGAATTAATGTCCTCTTGGTACCTGCCTCTGTCTTCTTCAGCCACCCTGGGTGCCCTGGAGTTCAGCCTTCTCTACGACCAGGACAACAGCTCCCTGCACTGCACCATCATAAAGGCCAAGGTGGGTAAGGGGGCCAAGCTGGGGACCACTTAGGATGTTCTGGCATTTCTAGGGGACTTGGGGAGGGCATGGGTGACCATGTCTGTCTCCTGTCATTGCCTTGTCTATCTGTGACAGTGACAGTGATGAGGAAAGAGCAGGAATTAGCCACGGCCAATTCCTTTGCAGGGAGGACTTCCTCCGGGGAAGGTCCCAGAGGGGTTTCACTTAACTGCAGCTGCCTCCTGGGAGTGGAGGAAACCAAGCTTCAAGGGCAGAGCCAAGATCTGCCCAGCCCCATCCACACCCTCTGGAGGGGATCTCAGAGGTGTCACCTGGGAGCAGGGACAGCCTAACTTGACAGCTGACATGCCACTGAACAGCTCCTTCTATAGACGGGGCTGTCAAGCTGGAGCTACAGACTGAGTCAGGACTTATTGTTGCAGATACAAGGACAGTAATCTGGGCTTCTGGGGTGGGGAGGGGGGGCGAGGCAAACCAGATTGGAAGAGCATCTCCATGCTACAGGCTCCAGGGGCAGTGAGCCAACTTTACTGCAGCCCACAAAGAAAGCTGGATGATGCCAATACTAATCCCAGGAAGTAGTTGACCAGGATCTCCCCCTGCCCCAAGTCTGGTCTATAGAAAATAACAAGCAAGGTTCAGGAACCAGACTTCCTGGGTTCAAATACCAGCTCCGCCCCTCCTAGCTGTGGGATTTGGGGGAAGTTAACCTCTCTGTGCCTCAGGGATAATAATAGAGTCTCTTCCATGAGGATGTTGGTGAGTGTTACGTGGAAGGTGGCGGGGTGTCCCAGTTTGCACAGATGGTCCCCAGCTATGCCTGTTGCCTTGATGAAATAATTAAGAACTCTCCTTTCCACTCACAAAATGTCCCAGTTTGGATGATCAATAATGTATGAAATGCTTAACACAACTTCTAGATCAACGTACCCAGGTCACTTCTTCAGCAGGCACTTAGATGCATTTACACGTGCCCTCCAATAGCACAGTGAGGTAAGGCCCTACGTTATCTTATTTCATCTTCATAGGAACCTCTGAGGAAGAGATTATTATTAGCCCCATTGTACAGATGGGAAAACTGAGGCTTAGAAAGTTAAAGCCTGAGGCCACTCAGCTGGTAAGGGATAGAGCTGGATTTGAATCCAGATGTAACCATCTCCAGCTCCAGAAATGGGGGAAAGCCACACCATTACAGCCCCCTTGCGACAGGGGTACAGAAAACTCAACGGCTCAGGGGCTGGGCTGGTAAAGAGATGAGAAAAACATGTGAGACATTAGGGAATGGTAGTAACTTTGGTAAACTAAACTGATGTGAGCAGGACCCAAACAAAGATGTTCAAGTTCAAATTTGAAAAACACAGCGTCTGCCAATTTGTAACCTCCCAATCCAAACAGACATTCCAGACATGTTTATTAAGTACCTACTCTGTACCAGGAACTACCCTAAATGTTGGGGAATATTAAAATGAGCGAGAATAGACTGTGCCCTCATGGAGAAATGGACAAGAACCCAGCACTATAGCATCTCCTGAGTATAGTATACCTTCTGGGGCTTTCTACAAATTATTTCTTCCCATTTAATCTTCACAACAAACCTATGAGGAAGGTTTCATCATCGTTCTCATTTTATAGATGGGGAAATTGAGGCACAGAGAGATTAAGGGACTTGCCCAAATCACACAGCCAGGAAGTGGTGGAGCTGGGATTTGAACCAGTGTTGTCCAGCTCAAAAGCCTATGCTCTTACCTTCTAGGCTACCCGGCCAGATTTCCTCCTTGCACCCCACTTTGTGGCCTCCTCTCCCCACCTAGTAGTAACAAACGTTGTTCATACTGAACTTGTGCCAGGGCCAGAGTTCAGCCTTCACAGGTGAGATCTCATTTTACCCTCCAAGAATCCCATGAAGCAGGGTCTGTGATCAGCCCCACTGAACAGCTGAGGAAACTGAAGTCCCCGGAGATCACAGGGCACGATACATGGGATTGGGGATTAGTGCTGTGAGAGAAGAGAGTGGGAGCCCAGAGATAAGACACCTGCCTCAGCCAGGGCCTAGGGGGATGGGCAGAGCGTATCTGAGCCCCGGGAATTTTGGAACTGCTCATGTTAACAAGCCCAGCTTAACTCCTACCCCGGACAAACTGCTCTCCCCCACAGTGACTCATTTTAGCCATTTTAGCCATTTTAGCCAACTCTGTGAGGGGGGCCAGGCAGAGATTGTGATCCCCATCATACGGATGGAGAAACTGCGGTCTCAGAAGTGAGTGCAAGGGCCAGGGCCAGAACTCAGGCCTCCTTTCGCTGGCCTTTCCTCCTCTCCCACCCATTCTGGGACATGTCCTCCCATCCCAGCAATAACAATCCAGCCTTGTTGGAGCACTTCCTGTGTGCCAGGTACTGTGCCAAGCACTTTACCGGTGGGATCGCGTTTAAATCTCACCAGCCCATGAAGCATCCCATTTGACAGGTGAGGAAAATGAGACTCAGAGAGGTTAAGAAACTTGCCTAAGGTCACACATCCAGTAAGTGACTTGGCCAGGCTTTAAACCCCGTCTGCCGGATTCCAGTGCTCATTTCAAGATACTGCATTTCCCTTCTCTTTCTTTGCAAGGGGAAGCACACAGGATGGGGTGATAGCTGTGCCCATTGCCTGTGATAGCTGAGCGCCCAGCCCTCCCCAGGCCCTCACGCCACTGCCTTCTTCTCTTACAGGGACTGAAGCCCATGGATTCCAATGGCTTGGCCGATCCCTACGTTAAGCTGCACCTCCTACCGGGAGCCAGCAAGGTACCATATGGCCTGGGCCTCTTGGCAAGGGGGGCACATGGGCTCTGGAAAGCACCCAAGGTTCCCAGCTTAGAGCCTAAAATAGCCCTCCCCAAACCCCCTCTTCCCTGATTGGCAAAGTTCTTACAAGGGGTAAGGGATGGGCCAGAGCCATTCTCCTTCAAGAGGCAGGGGCTCTGCTCATTTCTCTAACTCAGAAACCTGGGATCCAGGAGAGAAGCAGATACCCTGATTATGCCCTTGACCTGCTCAAACACCTTCAGGGCTCCCCAGTGCTGACCATGGTCCACCTCCCCCACCCATTTTTTGCCCCAGCCAAACATCTCTCAACAGAAATGACTAACTCTTTCCAGATAACTTGAGAAAAGGTTCTATTATTAAGAGAAAATTTACCCCCATCCCTTCCACCTTTCTGGGAGGGAAAGTGAGATTAATTCTCCTTTCTTTGGATTGACCCACTCAGAGCACATGGCTGGAAATGGACGTGTGCCTTCTTGGGCTTTATTTTTTGCTTTGTTGTGTTAATTTGACATGGATGTCCTAAAAACAAGGCTGCCTATATACTTGGTTACATGATCTTAGAAAAATGCCTTTCAAAAATCTCTGCAAGGGCTTCCCTGGTGGCGCAGTGGTTGGGAGTCCGCCTGCCAATGCAGGGGACACGGGTTCGTGCCCCAGTCTGGGAAGATCCCATATGCCACGGAGCGGCTGGGCCCATGAGCCATGGCCGCTGGGCCTGCGCGTCCGGAGCCTGTGCTCCGTGGCGGGAGAGGCCACAGTGGTAAGAGGCCCGCATACCGCAAAAAAAAAAAAAAAAAATCTCTGCAAGTATCAAATGCCCCATAAGACAAAAAAGGAGACACGCACACGCACACGCACACGCACGGGCACATACACTTTATCTCTTTTTTTGTTTGGATCAAGGAAAGACAGTCCCACCTGGCCATGGCCAAACTTGTTGGCCACTACTCCTTCTGACTCCCCAGCGACGTTTGCTTCTCCTTGACCCACTTCTTTGCCCACTCCTAAATCCAAACCTGCTTTGCCAAAGAATCCAATCAGTCACTTACATGTTAGAATGAATTAGATTTTGCACCAGGCTACCAGGTGCGTTTCTAACCTTCTCTCTTAGAGTAAAATGAAAAATTTTGTCCTCTCTAAGGAATTTCAGGCATGGAGGATGCTATCTGGGGAAACAGAGGGGACCATCCCAATATCCCCAGAAATTATTTCTTCACTGCCTAGGAATGGGAGACTCTCATTTCTGCTTCCCTGGCCTAGAAACAATACTTTTTCTCAAAGAAAAATATCTTTGCTTTCTAATCTTTATAAAGAGTTCAAAGAGGGGGCCCAGTACCTGGAGGGAGGGCTGGCCCAGTATCCAGTGTTGGTGATGCACCCTAGAGGATGACCCCACTCCCTGAGAACATGCATTTGGGAGCAACAGAGCCCCTGGACACTCCTGAGGGAAGTGGACTCCTAAGTCACCCACCCATCGCAAATGAGCCCAAGGGATGGAGCTGCAGGGCTGACTCCCCACTGAGACAGATGTCTGTCTGGGTTCTAGTCCAACAAGCTTCGTACAAAAACCCTGCGGAACACCCGAAATCCCATCTGGAATGAGACTCTGGTCTATCATGGCATCACGGATGAAGACATGCAGAGGAAGACCCTCAGGTGCTTGCTGGGAGGGTGGGCAGAGAGGGGCCTGAGGCTGGGCAGACTGAGGCATGCGTGGTTCCTGGGGGCAGCGCTTTAAAACATCTCAGAGTAGTTTTTTGTTTCTTTTTTTCTTCTAAAAAGCAATATATATTCCTGATAGACACTTTTGAAAATACAGATAAGTGAAACTGTTAACATCTTGGTGTCTGGACATTTGGGTTTAGCGTGTGTGTATATTGGTGTGTATGTGTTTGTGTGTGTGTGTGTATGTGCGAAAGTTTTTTTTTTTAATAAAGTTGAGTGTTTTTAAAAGTGTTTATAAAAATGGACCATCCTATTAAGTAATCAGCCAGTTTCACTTAACAATATACTGACGCCACTTCATATTCTTCTACAGTGTATTAAAATGCATTTTAAATTATATAAGTAATAAATGAGTACATTGTTCTTGTAAAGAATTATTGAGAAAACAAAGCTGCTTTCAAATGTTAGTCCCCTCCCTCAGCCTGGGTTGCCTTTCTCCTTCTGTGAGTGTGTGTATATTCGTTATATACATACATACACTATATATATATGTGTGTATATATATATATATATATATATATATATATACACGCACACACTGTCGTTTACAATATAAGAAATATCATGTTGAATATATCTGGAACGTGTCTTTTTCCTTAACAATATATCTTGGGGCTGTGGCCATGAGAAGACATTTAGATCTACCTAATTTTTAACTGCTTCAGAGTACTCCATAGCATGGGTCTATCACAGATTTTTTTAGTGTTTTATTATTAAGTGTTATGAATATACAGAAAAATATAGAATATAATAAAAACAAATACCCATGAACCCAATACTCAGTCTTTCAAAAATCTTAATATTTGTTGTATTTGCTTCAGCTCTTTTTTGTAAGGAATAAAGCACTACAGATGCAAATTGAAGCTCCTTTTGTATACTTCATCCCCCACCCCTTTCTCTTCTTTCCTCCCCAGGGCGAAACACTATCCTGAATTCTATGGGTATCATTTCCAAGTGTGTCCTATGCTTCAGCTACTTAATTATGTATCTATAAACAATATATGGTATTGTTGGCATGTCTTAAAATTTTATGTAACTGTTTACCACTTTATCCAGTTCCCTGTGGACAGACATTTAGATAGCTTCTACCTTTTTTCTATTACAAACAAATTTGCGATGAGCATTCTTCATGCTTCCTTGTGTTCATATGAGTATTTCCTTAGGACAGAAACTAAGGAGGGATATTTGCTGGATCACAGAATATGGGGTGTGGGTCTTTTTAATTTGGCAAGGCATACAAACTGGGCTGTTCCAAGTACATTCCTATCAGCTACAATATTATTTTAAGGAAACATAAACATTTTTATTGCAATGTAATAACATCCATTTAGAATAGTGCACACAGAAAAAGTGTACAGATTGATGAATTTTCAGCACGTGAACACACTGGGTTAAGAGAACAGAACATTCCCAGGCTACAGAAGCCCTCCCCTTGTGCCCCCTTCCAGTGAGGACCTTTTCCCCCAGGGGATTCACTACCCTAACTGCTAACAGGAAAAATTAATTTCATCTAGTTCTGTACTTTATACAAATGAAATCATACCACATCATTCCTTTGTGTCTGTCTTCTTTCAGTTAGTAGTATATTTGTGATACTCATCTGAGTTGTGGGTACTTGTAGCTTGTTCTTTCTCATTGCTATTTAGTATTCCATTGTGTGAATATAACACGATATTATTTATTCATTCTACCGTTAATTGGCATTTGGTTGGTTTTCTGTTTGGGGCTATTACAAATAGTGCTGCTGGGAACATTCTAGTAGCTATTTCTTGCATACATTTCTGTTGTATATACACCTGGGAGTGTAATGGCTGAGCCATGGGGTATGTATATGTTTAGCTTTATTAGAAACTGCCAGTTTTCCATAGTGATTGCACCAATTTACACTGCTACCGGCAATGTCTGGGAGTTCCAGTTGCTTCACATCCTTATCAACACTTTTCCATTTTGGCCACTCTGGCGGGTGTGTAATGGTGTCGCATTGTGGTTTTGCATTTCCCTGATGAGCAATTACAACATTATTTTCAATGCATACTGTTACATTTTTAGGGTTACTTCATAATTTTCTTGAGAAGTCCCCCCATTATAGAATACTTATGTTATTTCTGCTTTTTCACAACTATAAACAAAACTGTGGTAAAGATCTTTGTAGTTACGTATTTTTTCACTTATGTCTTCAAGGTAAATTCCTAGAAGTGGCGTTACTAGGTCAAAAATGGTGATTATTCGTGAGTCTTTGGAGACATACTGTCCTGCAGAAAGGATGGTGGTGTTTACACCCCCACTGGCTGAATGGAGGCAATTTCTTTCTCCAGTTGTGTACAGTGTGGGGCTCAGCAGGAGGGTGTTCTGACCCTTCAGAACTTTGAACCTTGTTCAACAAATGTTAATGGCCAAGAAGCAAGGTGCTGTTAGTTCCTGTCTGTCCCCCATGGGGGGGAAAAGTCCTTTCTTCCTCTTAGTATATGTCAGGATGAATTATCATGCCTCGATTGGTCCTTTTGGCCTCCTGAGGGACCTTTCTCATGACCTGCCCCTTTTTGTGCCTCTGGTCTACTCAATGCTGTGCAAAGTAGATAGCAAAAGACAATATAGTGTTCTGGAAATCAGGAGCTTCAAATTCTGGTTCTGCCCCTTACTGGGGAAAAATTATTCAACATATCTGGGCCCCAGTCTCCTCTCCAAAGTGGGAAACTCAGAGGTCTGGGGGGAGAAAGAATTAAATGAGAAGAGTCAGCTAAGTTCCTAGCCTAACTTTGCAACAGATGATGCTGAAATGACCATAAAGTAGATGTAAAGGGGGCTGAACTTCATTAATCATCAGGGAAATGTATTGGGTTGGCCAAAAAGTTCATTTGGGTTTTTTCCACAACATCTTATGGAATACTAATAAATTAATACTACAAGGAGATACTATGGCCCACTCAGAATGGCTAAAATTAAAGACCGACAAAATCGAAGTTAGAATGAAGAGCAACCAGAGCCTGCATAAACTGCTGGTGGGAGTGTAACTGGTGGAATCACTTTGGAAAACTGTTTAGAAGTTTCTGCTGAGGTTAAACTTGTGTGTAGTCCATGGCTCAGCAATTCTGCTCCTAGGAAGATACCTAACAGAAATATGTATCTATGCATATAGAAAAGACATGAACATGAATGTTCCATTGCAGCTTTATTCATAACAGCTAGAAATGGCTCAAAACCAAATGCCCATAATTAGCAAAATTATTACAACGTGTTTACACAATAGAATACTATACAACCAAAAAAGGGACAAATAACTATAGACATGGATGAATCTCACAGACATAATGTTGAACAAAAGAAACCAAATGTAAAAGGGTATACATCTGATTTTATTTAAATGTAAGTCAAAAACAAGACACTGAATCTTGCCAAGAGAACAAGATAGTGATTATCTCTGAGGGAGGTAGTGACTAGGAGGGATCATGAGGGTCTTCTGGGAGCTGGAGTGTTCTATATCTTGATCTATCTGAGTGGTAGTTACATGGGTGTATGCAAATTCAAAAATCCAACAAGCTAGAAATTTAAGATTTGTGTATGTTATTGCTTGTTAAGTTATACTGTGATCAAGAAGAAATTAGAAGTACCTGGCCTAGTGCTCAATAAATATGAAGTTGTATTATTCCTGTGCACATTACACGTTCCTTGCCAGCATCAATCAGAGCTCTTGGTACATAGTAGGAGCTCAGTATATGCTCTTCTTTCTTTCTCCATCCTTTATGTCAATCGCAGGATCTCTGTCTGTGATGAGGACAAATTTGGTCATAACGAGTTTATCGGTGAGACCAGATTCTCGCTCAAAAAATTGAAGCCCAACCAGAGGAAGAACTTCAATATCTGTCTGGAGCGGGTGATCCCGGTGAGTGCCTTTGCCCCAAGGGTTCAATGGGGAAGAAGAGTTGGAGAGGTGGGTGCTGCCTTCTTTTGGGGCTGTAAAGGATGTGATAGATCTGTAGGGTGCCAGACAGGAGAGCGACTTTGGCAGCTGTTGGAGGGAGGGTGAAGATTTCAGGTCAGAACATGGGGGTTGCATCCTGGCTATGCCTTCTACCAACCCTGTGTTAGCATCACTTCTGAAGGTCAGAGTGGTGTGGCAGAGTGGCCTGCCTGGGTTCAAAGCGAGCTCTGCCGTTTCCCTGCTCCCTGGCCTTCACCAAGGGTCTGAACTATTCTGGGCCTCAGTTTTTCTTGTCTCTAAAATGGGTGTTACAACAGCACCTGCCTCATAGGAGGCAGAACCTAGTACCTAATAAGCACTCATAAATTAACTGTTGTTATTATAGTAAATAATACTGCCTTAGCCACCTGTCAGTCAAGAAGTCATAAAGAATCATAGAGATACACAGGAGGCAGGATACCATAGCGCGTAAGAGCATGGGCTCTGGAGCCAGACTGGGATTGAGTCCCAGTTTCTGCCACTTATAGTATAACTTGAGTCAAATGACTTAACCTATCTATGCCTCAGTTTTCTTGTCTGTAAAATGGGATAATATAGTACCAACCTCATAGGGTCTTTTAAGGATTAATGTAAAAGTACATGTAAAGCATTAAAACTGTTATTGTTAGATGTGATACTCACCTTTTGAGAAAGAACAAGAACCAAATCGAGGTTGTCCAATTGGGCTACACCTCAGAATCAACTAGAGATTTTAAAACCAGAGTTTACAAAATAGATTCTGTGGGGGATCTCCCTGGATATTCTGACTTAGCAAGATAGGGTGAGACCTAGCAATCTGTATTTTTAGACATAATCCAACCTACCCTTTTTTACAACTGAGCCACCTGGGGCCCAAAAAGAGGAGCGAGTTGCCAAGGTCATACCGCAAGTCAGGGACCGTGTTCTCAGGCACCAGCCAGAGCCCAGCTTTCTTGCAATGACCTGCGTGCCTGCTCCCCCTGGGCAGTGGGCCAGCGCCCCATTGGGAAGCCATGGGGGGTGGGAGGGAGACTCCTGTAGCATCCTCCCACCAGATGGCCAGCCTGAGGATGGACTATCTGTGTGCTGCACCATATTTTATAGCACAGACAAAGGAAGACACAACAGGGAGAATTGCAAGGAAGAATTTACACCGAATGCCAGGCTCCCAATAAATCATTAGATGTGCCTAGGAATGAAGCCTTTCCTCTGGGTCTTTGCCTGGTAACAGTTGGCTCTTCAGGCTTTGTCATCCTTCCGTCACTCAGTGAGTCCAGTTGGTCAGCTCCTGGGTCTGCCATCTCACTGTGATGGACGCAGCCAGCCTCAGAGGCACAGAGGTGGCAGGACAGGCCCGCACTGGCCCCACAACCCTGCTGATCATCTCCTTTGCTCTTAAACCTCCCACCACCAACTCCCCTCTTATGCCCCACTAAGGACAGGGACCTCATAAGCTCTGACCCCTCTCCTCTGGACTTCAGTTTTCCTCATTTCTAAAGTGGAGAGGTTGGATTTAACCAGTGCTTTTCACATTGTGTTCCCCAGAGCCTTAGAATCCTGCAAAAGGCCTTAGGAGCCATGGGGGAAGAAGCACCTGGTGGCCCCTGTGCCACTTCATCCAGAGCAGACAAAATCTTATCTGTTTTGTGTATGGGCTACTTTGCCACTTATTGGTTGTGGCAAGTGGTTTAACCACTGTGACCCTCAGTGTCATCATCTGTAAAATGGGGATAATAATACAACCTATGTCAATAGGCTGTTGTGCATTAACATGGTCTCTCAAATGGTTAATGTTATATACATTTTAGCTGAATGGGGGAAAGCTGGAGGGCCACAGAAGCTTGGAGAACCCATCCTCATGGCTCTGGATGCCAGTGGAGGGGAGAAGGTGTTTCTGGTTTTTCTTGTGTAGGGAGATGAGCCCCATTGACAATGTTATTTTTCCTTTCTGTCTCCTTCCTCAAGATGAAGCGTGCTGGAACCACCGGGTCAGCCCGAGGCATGGCCCTTTATGAGGAGGAGGTGAGCGCTGAGTGGGTGTTGAAGCCACAGTCGGGGTCTGGCATCTCCCTTTTCTCTCCCTCCCTGGCCCCTTTCCCACTCTTTTACCCCAAACCACCTGCCTGTTGGTTCACCATGAGAGGTGCCCTTGCCCAAGGCATTAGAACATGAGACCAGGAGCATGCTTTTCACACCTGGAGCCCCCAAGGTGGGGGAAGCGCCATCCTCTCATAACCGAGAAACACCCTTGACCTTGGCAGAAGCTCTGCTGGCAGTTCTGCTGCACTCGAGCAATGCCACGCTCCCTCCATGGGGATGTAGGGCAGGTTCTCTGAGCTGTGTGTCTGGCAGAGGCTGGAGTTTGGCTTCACAACCATGCCCTCGGCCCCAAGAACTGCACTTTTGAGAAAACTGGGTGGATGGGGGGAGTCTGAGCTGAGTCACGTTGGAATCAGGGTCAAGCTCAGCCTATGATCAGAGTCAGGGTCAGTCCGTGTCTAAGAGTAAAGCCATTGGCCCCCATGTGCCTAGGACTGGGCCCCGTGGCTTTCATCATTTGCTCCTCCCTGGAGTCTGGGGTGTCTTCTGTCTGTAGTGCTGATTGCACTAGCACTGGCCCACCTCCTCCTACTTTCCACAGACTCTCTCTTTAATGATCGCCATCCACGTTGCCCAGACCCCTTCCCTCCTAGGCCCACACACCCTCTTCTCCTACTGCAGCAGGTGGAGCGTATTGGTGACACAGAGGAACGCGGCAAGATCCTGGTGTCCCTCATGTACAGCACACAGCAGGGAGGCCTCATTGTGGGCATCATACGCTGCGTGCACCTGGCGGCCATGGACGCCAATGGCTACTCAGATCCATTCGTCAAGCTGTGAGTCAATGTCTGGGGACTATAAATGGGCCCCAGAGGGGGGTCCTAGATCCTTGCAAAGAGAGAACCAGAGAGCTTCCCCAAGATCATTGTACATTGAGGCCCAGAGAGGGCAAAGAACCTGCCCAAGGTCACACAGTGAGACGGATGCCCAGAACCGGTGAGTGTGAGTCTGGAGTCTCAGTCAGCCTGGTGTGTCACCCACCCATGTGAGAAGTTTTGTGGCTCTCCTCCTGTGGGAGAGGGGTGGTCAGCAAGGTTACAGTAATCCCATTTGTAGCACCTGGGAATCAGCAACACATCCCTCCAGAGTCCAGAGCCCCACCACCAAAGAAGCAACCTGACTTTTTCTGGATTCAGTCTGGAAATGCTCAAAGAAAAGACCTTAGGCTTTGGGGTTATTCCAGTTATCTCAGTCATGGGGAATAAGAGAGACTTTGTGTTCTGGGTCCTCTGAGAAGATGCCAAGAGGGGATTAAACAGAGGAGAAATGCCTGTGTGAGGGAAAGTAGGGGGAGAGTCAGGGGAAATGGGACAGCAGTTAGACGGCCATTCGAGTCTGACCCTAAGTGAGGGGACAAGGGAGGGAGGGATGGGTGGAAGCATCCCAGATGCAAGTTCAGCAAAGCCATCAGGAAGTCCTCAAGCCAAAATTGGCCATCACATGAGGCCCATGTCTCCTAGGAGTAGGCCTGCCATAGGTATCCCTGCCATGTTCGGTAGTCAGCTGGGAGTGTGGCTTGGCACAAACATGGCATGGATTTCCAAGCGCGGCAGCTGGGGCCTTGGTCATTTATGTTCCCTGTAGTTGGAGGTCCTTCAGGCACATTCTCCAAGCCGCCATTGAATCAGACATGGGATGCACCTCCCATCTCTGCCAGCTACCAGCTATGTAACTGTAAGCAAGTTATGTGATGTCTCTGAGCCTCAGATTCTTCATTGGTAAAGTGGAAAAAACAAGTCCACTTATTTCCAAGAGTGGCCATAAGGCTCAAATGAGATACCATATAAAAGGAATAAAATTACGCCTGGTACAGAAACATTTAGCTACTCTGAATAGAATTCTGCCTTGCTTGTGGCAGTAAAATGTGTGTTTATGTGGTTGTTGTTGAGAGCCTGAGCTCTGGATCCAGACTGCCCGGGTTTGAATCCCAGATCCAATAGTCTTCAATATTCTCCAGCTGTGTGACCTTGGGCTCATGCCTTAACATCTCTGGGCCTCTATGTCCTCATCTATGAAATGGGAAGAGTAGTATTGGTCATTTGGTCCTGTCCTCCAAGAAGCAGACACCAAGACTAGATGAGATGCTAAGAGATTTGCTGGGGAAAGCGCCTGGGAAGGAAAATTGAGAGAGAGCTGGAGGAGGACCATAGAGACAACAGGCCTGGTGCACGTCTGCTTCCTGGGGGGTAGTGGGGGGATGGTTGGGCAGGAAGAGTCTTAGACTGCAGTGCAGTTCTGTTAAGTTTCAACCATTGTGGTGCGGAATCCTTGAGCGCAGTCGCCCATTAGAGGAGCCCCGCATCTCCCAGAAATGGGGCTGCCTACTGTCGCTGCTGGCTCAGGTACTTGCTGAGAGTAGCCTGTGGGGAGCATGGCCACATGAAAACATAGTGGTGAATTCAGAGCCCAGCAGCTTGTCAGTCTCCCCCTGCAGTTGGAGACCTGGGAGATACATTTTCATGGAGTCGGTGCTCAACAAATACCTGCCATTATTGTATAAATAATTACTATCACTATCTTACTCATGGCAAAGAGTGTTTATTAATGATCTCTCCAACCTGGGAGACACTCCTTCCCCCATCCGCACTGCCTCTGACAATAGAAATCAATGCTTCCCTTAAGGTCATGGCTACAAATCAGGCCACAGTGGACTTTGCTCCAGATTTTCTTTGAAAGAGGATTTTAGTTAACAAAAGAACACACATGTCTGGAACGCGTTTGATTTCTAGGAGTAATTTTGTGTAATTTTCTAATTTTCCCACGTGGTCCAATAGAGAACATTAGCTCCTGGGCTCCTGTCCTGTACTCCACTGAATCCCAGACACATGCAAATTGTTTTTCTTAAATAACTCTCCCCACCACCCCTTCTCCCATCTACCCAACCCTCCAGAAGAAGTAGAGTTGCAGTGGTCACCAGTGAATCAGCTGCCCTGGTGGGCATTGTAAAAAAGAAAACAGGAGATCATTAACCAACTTAAGATCCAACAAAGTTTTTTAAAGTCAGAATTGCCCTTTATTTTTGTTCAGCATCTGGTACCTTTCAAATCCCCTTTTGTATCTCTTCTTTCAGATTATCCTCAAAAGCAGTTCTGTGAGTGAGAAAGAAAAGTTTGCCTTCTTTACAGATTGGGACGCTGAGGCATGCCGAAATTACACTCATGTTGAGAGTTGCACAGCTAGTGACAGCTTGCATCAGAATCCAATTGTCCTAACTCTTAAGAGTTTTTAGCCCATTTTATTTATTCGCCCAGAAAATGTTGATTGAGCACCTACTACGTGTCATGCATTGTGTCTACACTGGGGGAAGAGCCTTCTAGGCAGAAGAAATAGTATGTGCAAAGGCCCTGGGATGGAAAGGAGAGTGAATGGGGTGTGGGGTGAAGCACGTGGCACAAGATCAGGCTGGACAGGAGCAGGGACCCAACCACGTAGAGCCTTAAGGCCACATTAAGGATTTTGAACTTCACCTTTAGGTCAAAGGAGAGCCATGGAATAGTTTTGAACAGGAGACTGATCGTAATCAGATTTGCATCTTCTCCCTTTTGTCCATATCCTCATCATCTCCCCAGGACCTGGGGGCAGCTTAAGAGATAATCAGTAGTGAAGCCCCAGGCACCGTCTTCCAGGTTCTCAATGATCCATTGGGAGAAAGTCCTAGCTAAGAGCACAGACTCCAGAGGCAACAGCTGGGTTGAGTCCCCAGCTGTGTGACCAGAGGCACATGTCTCAACTTCACTCTGAACGCTCAGTTTCCTTATATGTAAATGGGTGGTTGTACCATCTAGGGTTTGTTGAGGATTAAATATGCATAAGGTGCTTAGGTAATGCCTGGCACCAAGTAGATGCTCTGATGCACATTGGTCATTATTAATGTTGATTAACTTTCTGATCTGTTCATTATTCTCCTGACACTGGGAGGACCTTTGGGGTCATTAAGAGGCTGTTCTTATTCATTAAACTTCATCCATAATAGCCTCTCATGTCTCCTCTCAGCTGGCTGAAACCAGATATGGGAAAGAAAGCCAAACATAAGACTCAAATTAAGAAGAAAACGTTGAATCCTGAATTTAATGAGGTAAGGCTGCCCCATTTTTTGCCATGCTCTGGGATAGTTCCTATATGTGAGGGAGGAACAAATTCCCTGCTAGAAAGTTGTAAAGCACAAAAAAAAAAAAATTTTTTTCTTACATAGATCAGCTTGAATTATCTAAAGAAGGAATGAGTTCCTCATCATTGGAGGAAATCAAGCCTAAAACAAAAGCCTATAGATTTGGAATGTCATAGGGAAGACACTATATTTGGAGAGAGAATGAATTAATGTCTTTTACCAATGTCTTTACCAACTCTAATAGTATATAATACTGATATTTGAGCAAATAAATAGGGGCAGCTGTCCCCTTTACCACCCACCCAGTTGCCACTGCCCTCTCCCTCTCCCTCTCCCTCCATCCTCAGTGCATCCAGTCCTGCTAAAGCCACTATCTAGATACCCATTGAATGTGCTTATTCCTCTGTATTCACACTGTTGACTTGTCAGGCATCTAAATACTCAAATGTTGAGCACTAGGTTAGGTCCAGCCACACAGCTCTTAGACAAAGCCATAAAAGTGGTGATGCAGAAAAACAATTAAAAATAAAAATAAAGTGGTGATGTAGGAAAAAAAACCTGCTAACATACAAAGTTGGTTTTTACCATATGTTATAAAATGGAAAAAGGAAGCCACAGTACAGTATATTCATATTATATTTCTATAATACAATATTCATATATTTCATATCGTATAAAATTCATATTAATTTTTCAAAACAGACACCAGTATGGTCACACATGGGGAATGTTGACAGTGGTCATTCTTGGGTAGATAGATAACAAGTTTTTGGTTATGGGTTTTTGTGGGGTGTTTTTTTTTTTTTTTTTTTTTGCTTCCTTGTTCGTTTTAAAGATGAACAGGAATGAATTTTGTGATTAGGCAGAAGAGTTATTGACAAAATCAGATTATCTGAAAACATAGGCACCTAACCCTCAACTACCTTTAATCTCTGAACAATGGAGAGTGAGGAAAACCACTTCAGAAGCTATCAGAATGGAAGGACTGAGTTCATGGCTATCTGCCTTTAAGGAAACTTGACCAGGACCAGCCCTCTTAGAAACACCCCACCAGTCTTCTCAACTTCAAGCAGTGTCATTGAAAAGAGAATTATAGGGTCTGGGGGGCTTTATTATACGGAGTGTTAGTTGAGAGGGGTTCTTCAGGCCTGGGGTAAAGGCCCCTTTGATTCCAGATACCCAGTACAAGGTCCTCCTCTTGGTCCATGAACCCCTAAGACTCAGCCTCTTAGCTTCCGATGCCGAAGGCTCAGAGAACCCTGTCACTCACATGTCTTCCTCTGCTGCATCTAGGAATTTTTCTACGACATCAAACATAGTGACCTGGCGAAGAAGTCACTGGACATCTCAGTCTGGGACTATGACATTGGCAAGTCCAATGATTACATCGGTGAGTGCTCCCAGCTCCCGGGGAAAACCCTATCCTCTATCCTCCCAGGAGGGGGGAGCCTTACCCAGGGATGCACAGGGTTGAGGGCACTGCTTTACTTTGGTAATTACATTGTCCAAACGCTAAGTCGGGACCCATGGTCCTCACTTGGGTCCAATTTGGCTTACAAAGCTGGGAAGATTGGATCACGATTGGTTATTTGCTGAACAAATCACCTCCAGCAGAATAATTAAATTACAGAAGAGTGGAGCGTGTGGCCTCTGCAGAAAATAGGGTGTAGGGCTTCCCTGGTGGCGCAGTGGTTGAGAGTCCGCCTGCCGATGCAGGGGACACGGGTTCATGCCCTGGTCCGGGAAGATCCCACATGCCGCGGAGCGGCTGGGCCCGTGAGCCATGGCCGCTGAGCCTGTGCATCCGGAGCCTGTGCTCCGCAAGGGGAGAGGCCACGACAGTGAGAGGCCCGCATACCGCAAAAAAAAAAAAAAGAAAAAGGAAAAGAGAAAATAGGGGGCAAAGGAAGTCTCCTTAATCTATTTGCAAGTCCAGAATGAAGGTTCTCCTGTTCCCAGTCCCCCTCCAAATAATGAGGTGGAGTAGGAGTCATTACAGGTGGAGTAGGGAGGGAATTCCAGACAACGGATACAGCAAGAGCAAAGATGTGCAGGCAGGGTTGAGCAGGGTGATGAAACTGACTCTGGAAATAGATGGTGAGTACCAGAAGTAGTGAGAGAGAATTTCAGTGAGTGGATTGATGACTTAAAGAAGGTCTTTAAAGATAGACAATGAGGTTGTGACTTGACGCCACAGTAGGGAGCCACTGCAGGTTCTTGAGTCGGTAGTCTGTAGGCAGAGAGAGCCAGTAGTAATAATAACATCATAACCACAACCTCCAGAGAGAATGGATCCCAAGTGGCTGGAGCGGGGGTGGGTCGCTGCTTGGTGGCAGTTTTTCCCCAACTAGACACTTGGGTCCAGAATGAGATTCCCGTGCATCCTTCCACTCTGACTGCCTGCCCCTATCTTCCCATCTTGTCCTCCAGGAGGCTGCCAGCTGGGGATCTCAGCCAAGGGAGAGCGCTTAAAACACTGGTACGAGTGTCTGAAAAACAAGGACAAGAAGATAGAACGCTGGCACCAGCTACAGAATGAGAACCACGTGTCAAGCGATTAGGATGGCGCCCAGGTCCCCACCTCCATGCCCCAGCCCATGCCCCGTCACCCCACAGCCTGTCCCAGCTGCCCGTTGCACTCTGGTCTCTCTTCTCTACGCCTCCCCCAACCCCATCACTCCTGGAGCCTGCCTTTGAAGTCTCCCCCGCACCTTGGACATTGCCACCAAAAACCTCCCCTCTCCTCAACACTGCGATGCGGGCTCTGAATGCAGCCCCTCTCTGATCCCTCCAGGATGGAGCCATAGGGATGGGGATGGGGAGATTTTTCACAAGGAGGTTGTTAATTTAACAACCTCTCAGCCTGGGTAAATTACAGAGGCTCTTCATCATTTAGGACTGTTTTTAGACCCTCCTGGCCTTGGACACACGCACATAACACACACACACACACACACACACACACACACACACACACACACACACACACACACACACACACACACACACA